ATTTCTTAAGGTACTGACAAGGAAAATTTGTTTAACAATCACGAGCTTCTTCAGTCAGTGATCATTTCTTTTTATTCTCGTAACCTTAATGTTTGATTCGAGGGTGATATTGTGATGAGAACTGAGATCCTGGTCACCCATAGGGGACGTATGCCTTAGCTACTCCAGCTGTCTCATCTCAAGGAAACGCTAATTCTGGGCTCATTACTCAGTCAGTCAGTTCCGTAAGCGTCAACCACTATAGCTGATATCTTAGGTTCGACATCTCTCTTCCCTGACAAAGATGGTGTTTGATTCAGTAGGAAAGTTTCACGCGCCATTTTAATTGTCGAGTAACCGCGCCTTACACGGAGTGGAGCCGGGTCGCTCATTACTGGTAGAGAGATATTGCTAACGGGGGTTTCTAGGAATCCAGGCCACCACGGATATGGCGGAACGGGAGACAAACAGATCTGTGTTGTGAATGGACCATTTAGCAAAGACAAACGGCGCCTATTTGATATCATAAGAAGTGGACGTTTTCAGAGGACTTTCTATCCATCCGTCTCACTAAAGCTCTGCCAATGCACAGAACAGGTATCTTTTGCTATTAAATACCCTGGAAAAAAATGGCAATTTACTTTCCTTTTCGTGATCTCTTTGTATCATCCATTTAAATGTTTGTTTCATCCAGACAGACAAAAAGGTGACAAACATTTCAAGCTCCAGTGAGTTACGATACTGGAGAAATCTATTACATCCGGTCTTGATTTTATGTTACATACATTAATTACCGACTAAAGAAACGTATGCTAAAAAAGTTACTCAGTCGTGAAGCTAGTCAGGTTATGAGCTACCACCAGGGAAAATTAATGAAATAAGGTAAGTGACTTTCAATGTAACATCAAAGTTGTTTGAACTATAAATCTTGGAGTTTACATCCGACAATTTTATGTACAGCTGTGCTGTTTTAAGACCCGTTATAAACACAGAACCTCAGCTGTGTTGCATGACTGAATAGTCAATTTGCAAACTATTTTGTCTTCTTTGAAATTTTCTGGCTAAACGTTGCTGGCTTTCACAATTACTCGTATACCCAGATCTTTTGAAATCTTTTTTTACTTAAGGTTTACCATCTCCTCAATAGATGGAAAAGAATTCAGGCAGGTTACAGAACGCATGCCCGTGTAAAACTCTCTTGCAATACAGAAAGTTAATCAACTCTCGCGTGATTCGGCAGACTAATTTCTAACAACTTTATAAATATTTACACAGGACTATCTTTAGATTGAGTTCATCTTTGCTGAGAAAAATTGGATATTAATAGTTCTGATAGAGAGAATTTGTTTGACAATCTGGAACCTATCAAATTGGTAATCGTTTCGTTAATTTTCGTGACCGTTACATTTGATTTAAGGATGATACTATGACGAGAAATTAGAAACCATTCACTCTTAGGCCTGGGGCATGAAGGGGGGATAAAGAGAGGTGTAAACGAACACTTCTCATGAAAATAAAACAGATGGCACC